ATCTGGTGTCAGGCCTGGAAGGGACTCAGACAGCACTTGGGTGGGGTTTCCAAACTGTGCTGCAGGGATCCCGCAGGGCTCCTTACTGCCCCAACACTGGGAGAGGAGCCATGACACCCCCACCTCTCCACCAGAGAAATTGGCCTTTGTTCTGCATCGTGGGCTCCACATGTGATTCTATCTAAGAACAGGCTTTCTCACTTGGCACCACTGACCTTCTCTGGTCCCTATCTTACAGCCAAGGAATGAGGCCTGCAGAGGTGGCCTCTTGCTCCCCCTCGTCCCATCCTCCTCCCACTCTTCCCAGTCCCCCTGGCTGTTGGTGATATATGTCACCATATGTCACTCACAGTAAGTGGATACCAGCTCTCTCTTAGATCCCAGAGCCACATGAGGCCCTTCCTTGGGTCTACACTGAGAAGCTTGGTGGAGGCAGAGCCCACAGTTTGCACCACTGGCTGCTCACTTGCCAGGCAGTGCGCCCCTTTGAAGAAAATACGGTTTCCCCACCTTTCTTGCCAGTGAAGTTCCTTAGAATGTGACAGCTCGGCCATCGTTCCTGAGGCAGGTGCTCTGCGGTAGCTGTGTGGGCCCTCCTGCCTCTCCCCCTCAGCCACAGCCCTCTCAGCAGAGTGCTGTTCCGTTTTGTGGCAGATGTCCGGCTTGCTGGCAAATGACCTGGGAGTGACCGGCCATCTGATACAAGCAACAGCTCATAGGTGGCACAGACTACCCAATAGGGCCAATGTGGTGTGAAGGGGCACCCAGGTATCGGCCCAAGCAGTTTCTCCTAGAACCCTGACATCAGATGCAGTGGCTTGGACCTGGAGCCAGGCATGGCCTGGACAAATTCTCAGAGGCCAGCAGGTGGTGTGGTGGTTGGAGTGCTGGACTCCCACAGAGACAGCTGCAGTTTGAGTCCCAGACCTGAAGTCTACAAACTCACATCGGGCGCGTGTGCATGCACATGCATGCCCAAAATCCCAGGAGGAAAATAGAGAAGGCACTGTGGCATGGCCATCCCCCTGATGGGTGATTTCTCATTTTCCTTTCTACTGTCTCTCTCTGTCCAGCAAGCATAAATGCACTATGGCAAAAACCTTTTAAAAAAGAAAGAAAAAGGGCATGCTGGCTTACTGACACGGCAGAGCCATGGCCATTCAGATGACTCTTAGAGACACAGGGAGCTCCTTAGCTAAACTCATCTGCAACCAAAGCAGTTCAAACAGGAAGAGACTGGAGAGAGAACACGACGCAGATCCAGCTCCTGCTCCCAGCCTCCGCACTGCGGCACGCAAGCCAGTAGCCGTGCTTTGCAGAGGACCTCACAGTACTGCAGCCACAGCATAAAGCAAGCATGCCCATGTTTCAAAGAGGAATGTTGGAGTAATTCATTTTGGAAATAGAAGCCAAGTCTGGGAATAAGGGCAACAGAGACATTTGCCTTCAATTATCCCCGGTGCATTAGTAAATCAGAACGACAGCTCTGAGCTTGCCTCTTGTCAAAAATGTTAAACGATGAATTAGAGAAGAAACTCCTTTCAGGGAGGGTTTTATTTTCCTTTGACCTCAAAGGAAAAATGTAAAATGTTTTTTATTTTGAAACTGGTACTTAAAATTTTTAATATACCTCTTTGGGTTTTGATGAATCCAGAAAGAAGTTTAGAGCACTATCTTTTTCAAGGTTGCTAAGGAAACCACTTGTACCCTGGATGATGAGTCAGAACTGTTAAGTAAGTGCGGCTTACAAAACCAACATCACAGAAATCAAGAGTGGCTCCTCTCTCTCTCGGCAAAACTCCAGGTGGACCATGCGTGTATTTAGTTCTTGTGATGCTGATGTTTACGTTGAGGAGGTAGATCTGACCTGTCTGGGGGAGTGCCCATGAGTGGGCACACACATCAAAATGGTGACAGAAGAGTCTGAATGCACAGGACCACACAGGCCCTCAGTCTGGTGTGTTTCTTACACTCTGATTAGTCTGAAACTGGTGAGTGGTTTAGGAAATATTCTAGTTTCCATTTGCAATCAATTCTCAAAGTTGTTTTTAAATTCAAAAAAATTTTTTTTTAGAGATTTCTGCTATAGGGTGCATGTGGTCACTAGAGACAGAGAGACACCGAGAGACAGAAAGTGAGAAATCACCCCTCGGAAGGGATGGGCATACAACAATTCCTTCCTCATTCTCCTCTTGGGATTTTGGGCATGCATGCACATGCACCTGAGTGTGTGTTTTAAACCATCTGGTCCAGGATTCAAACCACAAGTCGACTATGTGGGAATCCAGTAACATAACCATTATGCCATCTGCTGGTCCCAAATTTGAGTTTTCTAATGACTTCAGATAGACTATGAATTATTTAACTAGGAACCTGGAGAAGAGAACACTTTCTAGTGTACTGCCATGACCTTCCTGGGAGTGGATGCCTTTCTCCTAGGGAAAACAGAACATACCCCAGAAAGAAATACCTCACTTTCAGGGTGAAACACCTTCAGGCTCAGCTCAGCTTGAATCTCTGGGACCATGAGACTACACTAAAGAGGACAAGGTAGAGAGCCTTCAGCAAGCTTCAAAGGCCTTCCAAGCTGAGGCAAGCAGAACAAACCCTTCCATATGGTTATAAAGGTCTGGCCACTGACATACAAACATAAATGCTGGATAAGCATTCAGGACTTAGTGGAGAGGGAGACTGGGCTTTAGAGAAGGCATTTATAGTCTAGAATTTTCAACGTGAAATAAAAGGGAGTCAAGGGAGTCTGGAAAATTCTGAAGCTGTGTGTGTAGACTATTGGCTGGACTGATAGGGCAGCTATCATTTGTGGGTAGGGGGGATATTAGTGACTCTCCATCAGATAGTTCCCTGAGCATACCATGGATGGCCAGTAGGTGCTGGCCAGAGTCAAGGAGCAAAGACCAGGTCCAAGTGTGATGGGTGTGTGGGGCTGGAAATGAACTGGAAACATCTAGCAGTAGAGGAGGCCCCTCTGGACAGAAGGGACTGAAGTTTTTGTGGAAAGATTTCTAGCTGACAAGGGAGTCACAGGTGTCCTCGCAGAGTTCTGAGAAGCAACACCATCTGAGTAACGGTCAAGGAATCATGCATGTTGAGTAGGCTATATACATCCTAGAAGAAGCAACAGCTGATGGGTCTGAACAGGTTAAAAGAAACCAAGACTAAGGAGATGTGGCTCCAAGAATGGAACACTGTAAAGACTGTGAACTAACTGTCAGGAAACCAGGACGATGGTCGGTGATGGAAGGGGGAGCCAGCAATGATGTTCTCTGGAAGGTACTATGGTGAACAGCCCCATTATGGCTGGCTTCTCTGACTGCTTTCTATTCCAGGCTCTGTCCTGTACCTTAAAGTTCTTCTGCGATTCGGGAGTTGGGCTCTCAAGGTCGATCAGTTTCTTTAGATCCTCTTCGATGGTGGACTTGGAAGTTGGCTTGGGGGATGCACGGAGGTCCCTGGTTGAGGCACGCAGCCTGGTGTGCGCTATTTCATTGCCATCACTCTGATGACGCCTTGAAAGAAAGGACAGAAAGATGGCAGAGACAAAGTCAACAATGTGGACTCAAGGGCATGATGAACTCTGAAGGATCTAGGTCAATGGGGAAATATTAAAGGAGAGAAAAAGTGAATTACTTCTGCTTAATTACATCAGGATCTACTTGGATAAATGCTTATTAAAGAGACAAATCAATTTGAAACACATACAAATAAATCTGACGAATAAATCACTTCTCTACTAAGCCAAAATTAGCAGCAGACTTACTAAAAGACCATAGGATATGAATCCCCACAACTTCTACACAAACAAAACCAAAATAACTGAATTAATCCTTTCATTTTTGACGGTACTGCTTTGTCACAAAGTCCTTTATTTTTAGGGATACTCACTCACTTTTTAACGTTCCCTCTGGTGCCTACTGGCCTAGTTAAGAGAAATTACACAGAAAGGCTGTAATTAATGTAATCAAAGGATGAGTGTAGTTTCAATTATTTTGAAGTATGTCCTTTAGACATAATCTTTCCTAGGAGAGCTAAGATTCTCAAATTCAAACATTTCGCAATACAACTTGTTTAAAAAATGAGACAGAAAAATAATTTTAAAAAATTCACTTGGAAGAAAAAAACGATCCCACCACCAAATCAACTCCCCACTCTCCAGTATGGCCTCTGCTATTCCAAGAAACTATCCCACCCTTTTTCATTCTCGGTCACTTTAAAAGCAAGCCACCCAGCGAGAGAACAACAACAACGCTTACTTTCTTGTATCCATAAATCCCACGGAGTTTATGGTTCCTTCAGGTTTTTTCCATCCAATCAGGTACTTGCTAGTAGCGCCCTGGCGAGGGTAGAAAGTCCTAGGACCAGACGAGGAGGAGGAGGACGAGGAGAAGGAAGGGGCGAGCTGCGAGGGGGTGGCAGGGTGAAGCTCTTCTTTTGGTGAACTTCTGGCACTGGTGAAAACGACTGGGCTGGCAGAGTGTCGGGAGCTCATGGTACTGAGGAGAAGCAGGACAAAGAAAGTGAGCCCAGTGTGCATGTGCACATCTCTGGTCATTATGTCATCTGTAAAAGTCTTTTCTGCGGTACAGGTGATGGCTGGGTTAAGGACAACAGTTTGTTTTTTTTTTTAATAACATATTAATAGGGATGGATAAATGGCCTTCCTTACTTTCTCACAATTTAAATGTCTGCTCTCCAAGTGACAGATGTCACTGGGCTTAGCGTGTACTTTTAAGTCAAAAAGTAAAATAGTTAAGACCATCGGGACACTTCACATGTGCTGGCGCCACTGAAGTCTGTCACAGTGAAGTCTAGATGAGGCAAGTGACAAGAGAAGGCGGTAAAAAGGTCTAGCATCTCAATGGCTACCAGTCTTGGCTTCCTCAGAGCGAGGGGTCACGGCAACACTCTGCAGGGTTAAGCTAGGAAGGGCAGACAGACACGAGATACAGCTCTCCACAGACGTACAGCCAAGGCCAGTTCTCCTCCCCATGACATCTGGCACTAGCAGGGATTGAAGAGCTGTTCCCATCAGTGAATTTCAAACACTGGTCAAAGATGACCAGAATGAAGTCTAGACAATCAGTGGAGTGCAAAACCCACGAGTTTCAAAAGAGTTCCAGAAATGAAAAAGGAAGAATCTCAAAACGAGGGATGAGGCTTTCAGTTGACTGCAAAGGCAGAGAAGCTTTAACTGCGGGCTTTCCATACTTCCTCCCCTGTGGACTCTCAGGACCCATGCTCGCGCTATTCAAGCCCTGTAAAGTCCTCCAGCTGAGGATTAGACCAAAGACAGCTGGCTCCGATGACAACAGACTTTTGGTTACTTGAGGTTCAATTAACAGTATGTGGTTCCCAAATGTTCCTCAACGGCACTTTCATTTGTCAGAAACTAATGGTTTGACCTGAATAAAGCATGAACTTCGATTTATAATAACATATCGATACTGATTCCTACACTTGATCTTTGCCAAAAGGTCCAGAAGTGATCAATACGTATTCTTCAGCTATGACAAATGCACTATATAATAAGGCAATAATGGGAAACTAGGTGAGGGTTATAAGGGAATACTTAGGTTGAAAGTCATGACCCAGAATTATCTTTACAACTTTACTGTAAGTCTGAAACTATTTTAATATTTCAAAGTTTATTATAGGGCTGGCCCATAGCGTGGTGGTTAAGAGAGCTGGATCCCCACATGACTGACCGCACAGTTCAAATCCCAGACCTAGAGGCTTGAAAAACATGCCAAGCATGTGAGTGCGCATGTCCCAAATCCCGAAATGATGGAGAAATGAAGAAGAAACTGTGGTGTAACTACACTCCAGGGGTTGAGGGGAAGGTTGCTTTCTCCCTCTCCTGGCAAGTGTAAATACCTTCTGGCAAATTAAAAATTAAATTTTAAAAAGTTTATTATAAAACACTAAAACCAAAAACTCCTCCCAAACACACACACACACACGCCCTAGTAGTTGTGAGATAATATATATCTATCGAGATAAATTCAGGTGCTCAGCTCAGAGGCAGAAATTTCTTTAACAGGATCAAAAGGGAAAGGACTGAACCTGATTAAGATAAAAGAACTTCTATTAATCGAAACACAGGAAGAGAATCTATGCAAATTACATATTCAACAACAGGCTCCGATTCTGACTATATTATTATAAGGACCAGCAGATAGCACAGTGGTTACATCACTGGACTCCCACATAGTTGACCATAGTTTGAGTCCCGGACCCAGTGGCTTAAAACATGCTGGGCACGTGTGCATGTGTGCCCATCTTCCTGGGGATTAACTTACTTTCTGTCTATCTCTTTCTGTCTCTCCAGCAAGTACACATGTTCTATAGCAAATAAATAAATAAATAAATAAATGTATGTATGTATAAATGAAGGGAGTTTAGGAAATTCATGGAAAAGAATGGATTTAGAGTATAAGTGTCTTTTGGTACAAAAACAATTGAAACCCATGTAAGCTTTTGTTTAGAATACACATTTTCCATGATTTTTTTTTTGAAGTCCTCTTTTTTCCTCAATTTTCTCTTGGTTGTCTTGTAATAAGACACATCAACCCAAGACAGAAGTTCTTTCTCATGAACTTCCTGAACTCCCTTCATGTCTATAAGGCCAAGAACACTGGTGCTCAACACCCTCAGTTACCATGAAAATACTAATTAAAATCACAATGAGGGAACATGATAGACCCACCAGAATGGCTAAATTAAAATGACTTATAACCCCACTGGTGGGAGTGTTAATCACTTCAAACACTTCAGAAAACTGGGTCATAGTCGCTACTAAAGTCGAATGTGTGTGTGTCCCTATGGCAAGGCAATTCTACTAGAAACAAAGTAAACACAAACACAGGTATACCAAAGGACACATAGGAGAATTCATAATATCCCCAAATTGGATAAAATCCTGGTTAGTGTCTGAAGAAGATCTATCTGATAAAGTGAAAACAGTGAATTGGGGTCTCACTTACACATCTCTGATTTTGGATGATTGTGTGCTGACTTTAACTGCTTTGATTAGTATTCACAAGTGAGTACAAGGATGTTTGAATTATCAGAGCCAGTTTCCAAACTCTGGCATATTACTATATAGAATGCTGTTCCCTGAAATTCTGCTTTAGTCAGTGGGACTTGGGGGCATGGAAATTTACACTCTTAATGTGTTCCCAGAGAATGCTATCATCCAGGACCTGTATTTGAAAACCACTGTATCAGAAGTCCACATGAATTGCCACGTTTTACATTTATTAGCATTGAATACCTAATGGAATTACTTATTTTTAGAATTACATAGTTAATTTTACTTATCATCATCATTATTGTTTAATTTGACCAGAGAGAGCCAGAGAGAGGGAAAGTGGCAAGCTGCCGGGTCTGGGACTCAAACTACGATTGGCCATGAGGGAGCCCAGTGCCCTAACTACCATGCCGCCTGCTAGCAACATGCATCAAATATCTTGATATGATAATACTGACATTCAAAATCGGACTTTCAAAGATTAAATGCTTGGTCAAAACAAATAATGAGCCAGGTAAATGGAAAGTGAATTGCATTAGCCCCCTAATTTAACCAGCTATGCTGATTCTAGCTATAAGGTATGTATTGCAAAAAAAAAGGGAAGAAAGGGCTTAGAAATGTTAAAGAGAAGCTTAGAAATGTCAAAGGAGAGAGCGACATCTATACACAGTATATAGTTACTGGAAGTTTCCTTTCTGTATGAATTTAATTACTACCACCAATTCTCTGAGAAGTACTTGATGCTTATTGCACTAGATTACAAACTCTTTGAGGGCAAAAATTTATCTTATAGACTAAAATATTGTTGAGCAAAGTGTTTCTCTTCAGCATCTGTCACTATGTATTTAATTCTTCATCTTGTTTATGTTCCGTCCCTCCTGTTTAATGTACTCTCCACCAAGCCTGAGATCTGTCTGTTTTGCTCACTACCGATACATATTCCTTATCTAGCGGTCAGTCCCTGGCAATGATAGACACTCAGTATTTGATGGAAGAAACTACCAAATCAATGATAAATTAGCTGTCCATTTTAAATATAAAAAAGAGTTACGCATGAGGATAGTGTATTTAACTCATACTGTATCTAAAACTAAGTGTTGCTTTACTTTTATTGCAAGAAATAATTAAATCTACAAATGTATTTACAAATGTATTCTTAAAAGAGTAATTGCTTAAATAAGACCATCAAATCTGATTACTGGTGTTATCTGTGAACATGATGGTTGATCTAGCTCCCAGGTGTGAAAAGCCTACACACAATTGTTCACTAATGGTTATAATCAAGACAGCACTGCTGAGTAACTGGGAACAAAGACACAAGTAAAAGTGAATGAACAATGCATGGGCCTGGCTTCTTTCTTCAATGCACACAACCCACAGCACTAAGTCGTGTGCAGTCAGCACACTAGGCCTCTAATTCAGTGGGCATATGAGCAACACCTGGGAGCTTTTCTAAACACACACTCTTGTGTCCTAGTCCCAAAGACGCTAGCTTAAGAAAGCTGGGATGCTGTCAGTTCAATAGGCTTCAATTCAGTTTTATCCATGGTGAGTTAATTATTTTCATAGGAGTTGTCTAAGAAGGTAAGGAGCCAATAATACGGAACAAAAAGAAAAGAGCAATAGGTATATTAGGAAGTAAAAACTGTAGTCTCTGGGCATGGCCAAACTAGAACACTAGGAATTAAGAGTAGCCCTGAATTCTACAGTAAAAGACAACCAACTTTATTTTTTATATAGCGACAGGGTACTCTCACTTTCCCAAAAGAGGAAAAACCTTGGATTCTGTTTGGTCATGCTAGGACATGAATTCTGAAAAGGAAGAGAGGATATATAAACAAACGTAGGATATCACATGGAAAGAGAGGAGACGAGACAACGGAGCAACTAAGAATCCGGGACAGTCTGAATCTGTCCAAACTTCTTGTCTTGACCTGATGCTCAAATAAAACCATGAATCAAACATGCTGCCACCTGCTTGTTTTATAGTTCCAGCTGGGGTGAGACTTCCTAGGCAGAGGTGCTGGATGGCCAATCTGCATGAAGGATGCCGGCCACAATGGGTGCTGCTTTACAGAGGAGGAGCTGCATCTGCTTGCTGACTCTGCAAAGAGACAAACCACTTGGGACTGGTAGCCTGAATGCCACCAATCACGGCCCTAAGTGCTGCGCCTATGAGGCCTTGGAGAACCACTGTGCATTTCTGCATTGTCATTGGGACCAACATCTCCTCCAGAAAAACACCTGCCAGCCACTGCCTGTGCTGTTGAAAGCTGCTAAAGGGAACAGTCGCAGTCATCTACTATTCAAGCACGGCACGAGAGGGGTGGGTTTTACACAGGCCAGGCCTGCTAAGGAAGAGCCTTTCAGGATGGGAAAGCAGCAATTAGTCACCTGTCAACTGGCTGTGGCAAAATCTGGGCAAAGGCTGAATGCTGGCCTAATACCAAGGGGAGACAGCCG